TTGTGCCTTAACCTTCTCTTTGTGGGGCTCTGGGTTCTTTGCCCAGCTCTGGGAAAGGAGCGGGGTCTAGTTGTTAGAGCAGGAGGGCTCTGGGAATCAGGAAACCTGGGTTCCGTTCCCAGCTCTGGGAGGGGAGTGGGGTCTCGTGGTTAGGGCAAGAGGGGGCTGTGAGGCACAACTACTAGACCCCACTCCTCTCCCAGAGCTGGTCCATGGCTGGCGTTTCTACATGTACAGTATTCAAGATAAATAATCCATGCAGTTACCTGGATCTGAAATGGCCCCATTTGAGTATGTCAGGGATGCACTCTGGATGTTGAAACCATCACAGCTGCCTGTAGTGATAAGGACTCAGAAAACAGAGAAATCATAAATAAACCATTCCCCATGTAGTGCAGATCTTCCCCCGGATAAAGCAAATATTAAATATACGGCACTGGCTATTTTTGGCCTCTCAGCCTGGACTGTCCCATGCTGTGTTGGTTGTTCAAACACGATGGAAGTGCGGGGTGGGGGCTAGGCGACCAGTTTATTTAATAAAACAAACTCTTCCCTTCCAGCCGCACAAAGGAGCAGATGCTGGAGCCATCCCTGCATCTCGCTGGGGAATAAGGGGACAGGACAATGAGCGGATCAAAGGGATGATTTGGAGTGGGGTCTAGAGGTTAGAGCAGAGGGGCTAGGAGTCAGGACTCCTGGGTTCGATTATGACTCCATTCTCCTTCCAGAGCTGGAAACAGAACCCAGGAGTCCTGACCCCCAGCACACCATCCCACCACCCTTCTAACCCAGCAGACCCCCGATGTCATTTGCACCAGTAACGTAGAAGATCCTGGACAAAATTGGACCCAGTCCGGGCGGGTAAATAGATCCAATTTGTGGCTCTGATTTCCAAAGACTGGATCCCCCCGCCCCGTTTGTGGGATGCCCTGTTCCCCCCGCCCCCCAGCTCCGGGGCAGGAGCTGCCCATGCGGCTCAGACACGGGCGGAGCACGGGTGCCAGAGGAAGGAGCCGGCCCACGCTCCAGCACAATAGTGCCGTCGCCCAGAGCCAGCGCCAGGGCGTCCGAGTCCCTGCACTGCGGCCGGCCCAGGGCAACCACTTCCTTCAGAACAACAGCAGGAGCCCACGAGCGGGGAGTGGCCCCGGTTTGTCGGCGCTTTCACTTCTCCTGCTCCTGAGCTTTCCTGCCCATTGTTCAGCTTGGGAGTCGTTGCAGACGCTTCCTTATGGCACCGCAGCTGATATCCCACGAGAGCCGGGGCACATGTGCAGCTGCATCCCCAGCCTGGCCCCAGGGGGCGCTGTGCTGCTGGGGGTGCTGCCCCCAATGCCCTGCGTGTGCCCCGTCCCCCTACACGCCCCAGCCTGGCGCCAGGGGGCGCTGTGCTGCTGGGGGTGCTGCCCCCAATGCCCTGCGTGTGCCCCGTCCCCTTACACGCCCCAGCCTGGCACCAGGGGGCGCTGTGCTGCTGGGGGTGCTGCCCCCAATGCCCTGCGTGTGCCCCGTCCCCCTACACGCCCCAGCCTGGCCCCAGGGGGCGCTGTGCTGCTGGGGGTGCTGCCCCCAATGCCCTGCGTGTGCCCCGTCCCCTTACACGCCCCAGCCTGGCACCAGGGGGCGCTGTGCTGCTGGGGGTGCTGCCCCCAATGCCCTGCGTGTGCCCCGTCCCCCTACACGCCCCAGCCTGGCGCCAGGGGGCGCTGTGCTGCTGGGGGTGCTGCCCCCAATGCCCTGCGTGTGCCCCGTCCCCCTACACGCCCCAGCCTGGCGCCAGGGGGCGCTGTGCTGCTGGGGGTCCTGCCCCCACTGCCCTGCGTGTGCCCCGTCCCCCTACACGCCCCAGCCTGGCGCCAGGGGGCGCTGTGCTGCTGGGGGTCCTGCCCCCACTGCCCTGATCACATCCCCTCTCCTCTGTAGTCACTGGGGGCCCATCTCAGCATCGGGCCCATGGGCCAAGCTGCACCATTTGGAGCTCGTCTCTCATTACTCGGCCTCTCTCGCTCCAGCGAAGCATGAACCCCTGGGGCCGGGGCTGGTTTGTGGTTTGATTGCCTGGTTCCGGAGCAGCAGGGTCAGCCGCCAATTCCCACCCCCCCCACCCCCGGAATCCAGGCCAGCCATGGAAACTGATCCCCTTGGCATGAAACTGTCCATGGAAAAACCCCGGGGCCAACTGGGGCAGGAGGGGGGTTGAGGAACCCCACAGAATGACAATCGCAATCAGGGAACCTGCCCTCGGCTGGACACGGGGACCAGGGCTCCCAGCCTCTAACCTCACCCCGGGGAAAGGCATGACCCCCAATACCACGGGGAGAGGGTTGTGGGGGCACAGGAGATGGGGTGTATTTGAGCTGTTGGTGGGGGGGGTCAGAGTACACTTGTGGGGGTACAAGGGGTTGGGGGGTGTATTGATGGGGGGCCCAAAGGGGGGTTGGGTTGTGCCAGAGCTGCCCAGCACTACAGAGTATTTTAGGGCGGGGGACTGTGACCTGCAGCCCCCCGCTATTCCAGCCCTGTCCCCACACTTTGCTGATGCCCCTCAGTCCTGACTCACAGGCCCCTGTCATCCCAGCCCGGAGCCCCACAGCTGGACGTTCTCCCCACCCCCATCCCCGCAGCTGATCTCACACACCGGTTCCTGTTTCTGCTGGGGCAATGTTTCCATGAAGTCTCTGGTGCCTGCCCAAGGGGTGGCCAGGATATCCCCGCAGTGACACAATCCCCAGGGCTCCAGCCACAGGGCCTCAGCAGCCTGACCTGAACCGCCCCCCACATGCCAAAGGGCATGACCCTGCCAAGCAGGAGGCAGCCTGTGGGGTGAGAGCAGGCTGGGGGTCAGGACTCCTGAGTTCTAGTCTCACCTTGAGGAGGGAAGTGGGCTCTAGTGGTTAGAGCAGGGGGGTCTTGGCATCAGGACTCGTGGGTTCTATTCCCTTCTTTACCATCTCTCTCTCCTCATGAAGAGCATCACAATTGATACATTGCCCTGTATCAATATCACAGCCCTTTCCAAACCCTGTGAAGCTCTTGTCTTCCCCCACTCTCCTGTGGCAGGGAGTTCCCCAGGTTAACAACACAAGGCTGAAGGGATTTACAGGTAATGGTGGGGGTGAGTGCAGGTCGTGAGCTCTCAGCCAAGCACAGATCTGCCCCAGGGCCTTTCTGCACTGGGGGGGCTGTTCCCAGGACTTGGATGGGCTTCGGATCTAGCCCCAGCTGGGCTGGAATGTTGACAGTTCTTCAGCTGTTGCGCCCCAAGGGGAAAAGCAGCCCTCGGCTGCCCCGACCCTGCTAATCTGGGCTCCGCACCATGCTGGGGCTGTGTTCCAGGAGGCACGAGGGGTGACAACAGCGGTGTATGGGGGGGCAGCACAGACAGGGGCAGTGGCGGCATGGGGTGGAGATAAGCTTGGGGCTGCGGGCTGGGCTGGTATGGGCCCTGCTGAGTGTCACGGAGTCCCCAGGCGCTGCTCTGGAACTGCTCCCTACGAAGCCGGTCAGGACTCTGGGGAAGTCTCCTTCCTGTGAGCAGCCTGTCTTCAGGACACACAGCCCACACAGCTTCCACCTTCCTGGGTCTGACCTCGGAGCATTCAGCATCCTCTGCCCCTCCGTGCGCTTCCCACAGCGAGTCCGCCCAGGCGGGGTCCTGGGGAAGCCAGAGGGTCCTGCCCCCCAACTCCGCAGTCAGACGTGACTCTCAGCCAGCCAGTAAAACAGAGGTTTATTAGATGCCAGGAACATGGTCTAAACAGAGCTTGTAGGTGCAAAGAACCGGACCCCTCAGCTGGGTCCATTCTGGGGGGCAGTGAGCCAGACAACCACATCTGCACTTCACTCCATGTCCCCAGCCAGCCCCAAACTGACTAACTCTCTCCAGCGCCCCCACCCCCACCCCCCTCTGCGCTTTGTCCCTTTCCCCGGGCCAGGAGGTCACCTAATCTTTTTGTCTCCAACCCTTTAGCTCTCACCTTGCAGGGGGGAAGGGCCCAGGCCACCAGTGGCCAGGAAACAGGGTGTCGGCCATTCTCTGTGTCCAGACCCCTGCACACACGTGCCCTCTAGGGCTCTGCAACGATCATACACCCTTATCCCACCCCCTAGATACTTAAGAACTGCATAGGGGAAACTGAGGCACCCCCACAATATTCAGAGGAAACATTGAGAACAGTCCCGCTTCGTCACACTGGGTCATTCCTGGGGCCATCTCAGGGGGATGCGTCCGGGGTCGGGCTGTCTCTAGTCGAAAGACGGGTCCCCTGGGCCTGGGGAGCTCAGAGCAGTGTCTGTGGTGTGTCAGATTGGATCGGAGTCCAGCTCATTGGTCTGCAACGCAGATATCCCCGTATACACCGGACCCCTCCCTCCCAGCCAGCCTCCCTCAATGGCCTACACACCCCTCCATCCACTCACCCACCCCACCCTGCCTTCCCCACCTCCCTCCAGCCACACCCCCTGCCCCCTCCCTCAATCTGCCCAGCCCCAGCCCCAGGCACACCCATCCAGCCTCTGCTGCCATCCCCTCTTCAGGCTTCCTCAGGCACCTCTCCCTCTGGTCTCCCCCATTGCTAACCCCAGGAAGGGGGGGCTCCGCTGCCCCCCAGTCTGCACCTCGGGACTTGGGCAGACACCCATTGGCCCATGTGGCTGCCTGGTCGGGGGCAGCTGTGTAAACGGGAACCGAATCCATGCCCCTCCCCCTCGAGCCCCCCTGGGATGGGGGCTCAGCCCAGACCGGGGTCTGTCATTTAGTGGGAGCCCCTGGTTAAAATATTGCCGGCACCTGCCTGTCAGCTGACCCCCTTTTCCGACACACCCCCCCCCGGCCTCCCCACACACAGCCCTCCCCCGATCCCGCTCTCCTCCCACCCAGGCTCCCCCCTACCCCGCCGGATCGCCAACCCCAGCAGAGAATAACTCCCCCCGCCCCAGCCTTCCTGGGCGGGGCCCCCCTCCCCCATATAGCCGGCCCTGCGCTTGGGGGCGCTGCCCTCTGGCTGCAACTCGGTGCGCGCCGCTCGCTGGACTCCCTCGCCCCACAGCATGGCCCCAGCTCGCCGCCTGCTGACCCTCGGTGAGCCCCGATCCCGGCCCCGGCTCCACCAGGTGCTCGGGCCGGTCTGCTGCTTCCCGGGCGCGTTTCTGAGCTCCCCGGGTGTAAATCCCCGGGGAGTGACTCCGGTGTCGCTCCGCCGTGGCTGCCAGCGGGCTCCGGCCCCCGGTGGAGCTGGGATCTCCGCGGGCTGGGCTCCGAGTCCAGGGGCCAGAGGGGGATGGGCCCGATTCTGACGCCACTTACTGTGGTGTAAATCCACGGGGGCGGATCCCCAGTTGGTGTATTTTGCTGCGTGGTCTCCCGGGGCGTGACGCTAATTTACAGCCGCTGCCTTTACAGTGTTGTGAGTGTGAGTGTGAGCGAGTGAGGGCAGGATCCGGCCTAGCCAGTGCCGGCTGGGGCTGATTCTCCCCTCCCGCTGCTGGAAAGCTGGAGCAGCTGGGCCCGATTCTGCTCCCACAAGTTTTCCCCTTGTGTGACTCAAGTGGAGTGACTCCTGGATTCCGTGCTGGTGTAAATGGGAGCAGGAGACTTGTCTCTGGCGGGAGGCGGGGCAGGGATCTGCTGGGCTGCCCAGGGCAATAGAGGATTGTGCTGTATGTCCGGCTGGGCTGGGCTCGTCTCTGACAGCCTAGGGAGCAGCGTGTTACTGGGGGGCGCTGTCACAGGCTCTCCCATTCTGGCTTGTGTTCCGGAGAGAGATGATCCTTCTTTGACAGAGAGGCCAGCTGGTTTATCCAGGCTCCTGGCAAGATGGTGCTGGGAAGTGAACCCAGGAGTCCTGGCTTCTAACCGCCCTGCTCTAACCCATCAGCCCCACTCCCCTCTCACTGCTGGGAATAGAACCCAGGTGTCCTGACAATCAGCGCCCCCCCCCCCAGCTCTAACTACCCTGTTCCCTCAGGCTACAGAAGCAGGGTTTGTAAACTGATTTTCCGGGGTGTGTCAGCTGGCTTTACACCAGGAGTGGAGAGGCACAGGGACCAGGTTTGAAAGCCCTTTGAGGACCCCTTTCGGGTCCCTTTTGGGGTGATCAGGCTTTGCACTTCCCCCAGGGCTGGAATCGTCGGGTATGAGGTATCAGAGCGGGGGTAGGGGTGCCCCTCCGAACTCTTGGCCGAGTCCCGTGTAGTTAATGACCGTGCAGAAGGCTGGATGCAGTTGCCTGCATGTGTCCTGGCTCTGCCCCTCTCTGAGCCTGATCCTGCCCCCACTGGAGACAAAGCCAGGTCTACCCCTTGCGTGTACTGTCAGCGCATCCCAGGTGAAGGTGCCCCAAGTGCCTCCCCTCCCTTCCCAGCTCTTCTGGTCACGGGTCGTCCTGGGTCCAGTCAGCTCCCTCTCCAAGCTTCATCCAGACTTGATCTGATCGTTGGGGGCAGGGGAAGTTCCAGGGTCACCTTCCCCACCCCCGCTGGCCACTGATGCACCCGCAGTCGCATCCCCTTTGGGCTGTGGGTGGTGCTGGAGGGTGGGATCCACCTCGGAGCTGGGAGCTGCAGCATCAGGAGCTGGGTGCCTGGTGTCCCGGGGTTCAGAGGAGGCTGGATGGGGAGGGGGCGGGTTGGAATACGGGTCGGGGTCCTTTGCTTTGGGGTCTTCGAAGTCTTCGGCTTCCGTATGAGGAGAGATTAATAAGACTGGGACTTTTCAGCTTGGAAAAGAGACGGCTAAGGGAAGATATGACTGAGGTCTATAAGATCATGACTGGTGTAGAGAAAGTAGATAAGGCTGTGTTGTTTACCACTTCTCATAACGCAAGAACTAGGGGTCACCCAATGAAATTAATAGGCAGCAGGTTGAAAACAAACAAAAGGAAGTATTTCTTCACACAACACACAGTTAACCTGTGGAACTCCATGCCAGAGGATGTTGTGAAGGCCAAGACCATAACGGGGTTTAAAAAAGAACTAGATAAATTCATGGAGGACAGGTCCATCAATGGCTATTAGCCAGGATGGGCAGGGATGGTGTCCCTCACGGTTGTTTGCCAGAAGCTGGTAATGAGTGACAGGGGATGGAGCACGTGATGATGCCCTGTTCTGTTCATTCCCTCTGGGGCACCGGGCACTGGCCAGTGTCGGCAGACAGGACACTGGGCTAGATGGACCTTTGCTCTGACCCAGTTGGGCCGCTCTTATGCCTTTCACTTATCGGAGCATTTGCCTGGCTTTAGACGCCATCAAGGCAAAAAGCAAGCCTAGGATTCCTGGCTTCTATCCCCGCAGTGGGAGGGGAGCGCGGTCTAATGGCTAGAGCAGGGGAGGCTGGGGGCCCGGATTCCTGGGTTCTATCCCCGTAGCTGTGGGGAGGGGTGTTGGTCAAGAGTTCTTGTCTAAGTGGCTGGCCGTACAAAGGGCGGGATCCTGTTGGGTGTTCAGTGCCCCGCCCCTCCGTGCGTCCTATGTCCTGGGGAGGGGGGAGTGCCCCGCCTGTGACGAGAGCAGAGCAGCATCGTTTTCAGAAATATTTCTGTCCATGTTGTGCCAAGTGATAAATAAAATGAAGCATTCCTTGCCCTACTTGGCCCTGCCAGTCCAGCCGCCCTCTGGGGAAGGAGGAAGGGAGAGGAAGACATCAGTGCTGCCCGGGGTCTGTGCCCACCCACCTTTCCAGAGCTTTGGGGGGATCCGGTTTTCAATCCAGATTTTAGGCTCCTGAAACGGGAAGCCTGACTTACAAAGGGGCTGCGATCTGTAGGCAGGCAGCGCCGTCTAGTCGAAAGAGTGTCGGCATGGGAGTCAGAACACCTGGGTTCTTTCCACTGATTTGGCAAGTCGCTTCCCTGCTCTGTCAGTTTCCCCACTTGCCTTTTGTCAGTTGAGACTGGGAGCCCTTTGGGGCAGGGGCTGTCTCTCGCTGTGGGTCTGTGCAGCCCTTGGCACAATAGGGCCTCCGTTTTTTTCAGGGCTGGTAGTCGCTGCCGTAATTCACTTAATAACGAGCATTCCCAGATCCTGCAGAATCTGGGCATAACCAGCCAGCTATTTTAGGAGCCTTGATGTGGATTTAGGTGCCAAAATTTAAGTGCCCAGGTTTGGCACGTGGGTCCCCAGCTGGGGGCTGGATCCTGCGCTGCATGTTCCCACTAAGCTCCCATTGGTGGCAGGCACTGTCCTGCTGGTGGGATGGGCTCAGGGTTGGATCCAGGAGTAGATTGAGCTCCTGTATCCGCTGTTATCTTTGATGCCTCCTTAGATCTGTGTGGCACAGCCTTGCTAGCAGCTGCTGTGTGGCACAGGTGCCTGAGTGGTTCAGGGGCTGCGCTGGCATGGGGAAAATCCAGGTTCAATTCTCAGCTCTGGCACTGAATCGCTCCAGGACTCAGTTTCCACAGCAGTAAAATGGGGTGACTGGTTCTTCAGTTGCCTTGTCTGTTTGAGTCATACTGGCTCTCGAATCGATGCTGAGGGGCAACAATGGGGCCTTGGTGCCGCAGCAGAATGGCTAATAAATACAAGCTGTGGCTTGTGTCTGCGATGGTAGGATTGGTACCAGCCATTTGTTTGATCAATGACTTTGTTTTTGCATTTGATTTCCTGGTTTCATAAAGTGTGTGGGGAGATAATGTGGAGCAAAGAGCCAGTGGGGCTGTGAGCCAGGACTCCTGGGTTCTCTTCCTGGTTCTGGAAAGGGAGTGGGGTCTAGTGGTTAGAGAAGGGAGCTGGGAGCCAGGACTCCTGGGTTCTATTCTGTGATGCAGCAGGGAGGGGGGAGTGTTGACCTGGGAATGTGGCAGGGGAGTTTCACTGGGGATGGGAGACCTGAGAGCCTGTAAGCTGAGCCAGGACGGGGAGGGGTAGGTAACACCTCTGCCCGGGAAACTGGACAAAGGTTGCAGGAGAGAGCCAGCTGCGGGCGGGTTTGGTTTCAGTTTGGTGCTGGGTGGTGGAACGCAGGGAACCCCAGGGCTGGGGTCTAAGCTCCCTGCCCCCCAGAAGGGCTTGACTGAGGGGTCCCGGTTGTACCCACAAGCTCTGCTTTGGACTGTGTTCCGATTGTCCAATAAACCTTGTGTTTTACTGGCTGGCTGAGAGTCACAGTGAATCCCAGGAAGAGGGGTGCAGGCCCCGCACTCCCCCACGCTCCGTGACATATTCCCAGCTGCCATTTGCTCTGAGACAGTGGGTGAGTTGTCGCTCAGTGCCTCAGTTTCCCCATCTGTAAAATGGGGCTGGTGGCAGCACCTGTCTCAGCAGGTGGAGCCATGCGGGCTGTGAATGCCCATGTAGTGCTTTAGGGCTGGCCTGTCTCCTCTTTGGCAGGGGCCATCTTTCTGGTACAATGGGGACCCAGTCCCAGGCTAAGCGCTATCATAATACACTTACTACTAACTCCAGCCTTGCTGGCATGTGGGTGCCCTTGAAAATTGAGACAAGCCCTCGAAAATCATGAGTGACTTGAAAAAGATAGTGAGATTGCAACTTTGGGTTCCTTGCGGTCTCGTAGCCCTCTGGAGGGTGTCCCATTTCTGAGCTCCACTCTGTCATCCGAAGGGTTAGAAACTTGCTTTTAAAGAGAGCCCAGATCCTCACAATCCCAGGAGTCCAGGAGTTGGGGCTTTCAGGAAAGCAACAATTGTCACAAGGCCGGTGGTAAAATTGCAAGTGTCGGCAGCGCCGTGATGCCCTTTCTCTCCTGTATCAGGACCCGGAGCTTTGGGAGAAGTGGCTGGCTGGGGGTCGGCGTGGGGATTGGTTGCATCTCCAGGGATTGGGGGGGAGGCTGTGGGTTGCGGGAGGGCTGCCTCATATCTTGGGGGTGTGGGGAGTTGGCGGATGAGTTAACCTGGCCGGAAGGAGGCGGGCACTGTTTTGCTGGGTGAGGTGTTGCACGGCTGATTTCGAAATCAAGAGCATAACGGAAAGGCGGGTGATGAGTTGTGGGGAAATGGTGACAGGTCTGGGAAAATGACAGGTCTCATAACCGCTCCTCCTCCCCCCAAAAACCCCCTCGTCTTGTGTCAGGGCTTGCACCTGGGCGGAGTGAGCATGAGCCAGCATAGGCAGGGGCAGGGG